ATATCATTTCAGTACAGACAGTGGGATTATGCAGTTCACTACATACCACTAGTAGCAGGTTAGGTTAAGAAGTTCAGGACAGGTTAGTTACATGAACAGTTCTCTCAGACAGGGAGTCAACCAGGAACTGTTGAGAGGCTGCTGCTGCTGCCGCCTCTCAGTGCTTGTTTCTCAAGGTGATTGTTGCATTTTACTTAGCTGTAATGCCGGGCAAGGGAATGTCATGCTTTAAGGAGTACTTGTTTGTGCACAAAGGCTGGTTTGGGTTTTGGCCATTGGATACCTAGCTAGAATATGCAGAGCAGTACTGTTTCCTTGCTGCAACTAGAAACTCCAGATGGTGCAGAATGCGGTGGCCAGACTTCTTAGTGGGGTAAGGAAACATCAACATATTACTCCCACTCTGGCCGCCTTTCATTGGCTGACTGTTCGGTTCAGCGTAGATTTCAAAGTCTTAACACTTACGTATAAAGCCCTAAACGGTTTAGAGCCTCGTTACCTGACAGCACGCCTTCTCCCACCTAGATCTACCCGTATCACCCGATCTAGCCAGGAGGCGAGACTGAGGAGCCTAACGTCGAGGGAGGCCCGGAAGGAAAAAAACAAGGAACCGGGCCTTCTTGGCAGTGGCTCCTCGTCTTTGGAATAGCTTCCCTCCTGAGATTCGCATGGCCCCTTCCCTGGGCATCTTCAAACACCAACTGAAAACCTGGCTGTTCAAGCAAGCTTTTCCTCCATCCACTGTCTGATTTTTGTTTCTTGTGTTTTCTCCCATCTTGGATCATTGTGTTTTTTAATAATATATTGACGTGATTTTCAACTGTACAGAAATTTGTTATATGATATGTTGTTACCCGCCCAGAGTAGTCTATATGACTAGATGGGTGGGCTATAAATAAATAAATAAATAAATAAATAAACAAACAAACAAACAAACAAACAAACAAACAAATGTTACCACCTGCTCCTCAAGGAGTTGTATACAATTTATATAAAATGTATGGAGGGTGAGATGTAAATAAATAAATAAAGGGAAGAACTTGCCTGATGCCTTTGCAGCATTGGGATGTGACAAGATACATGTACAGCAGGGGTGGCAGTTGGGAGCTGAATATAGGTATTGGCAGCCCTGTACACTGTACACAAAACTTCTGCAACCTGTAGAGGGCGCTGAATCATACTTGGAAACACTAAGTTCTGAGATTTTAAAATACGATCTGGCAATTACACTGAGGTTTGCTTCTGACTCAGATTTCAGGTCCATTGGTATCACTGGACTGTCACATGGTAGTTGCTCACATTGTGAGTGCTTTTCCTTTCAGCTTTCAGATGATACCACTCTTTCTTTAAAAAGTACAACCCTTGCTTTTTCCTACGTGTCTAGGGGCAGTTTCATTGCACTAGATAGTTGTTCCTTTTTCTTTTTTCTTTTTGTCTGATATGCTTGCGGAGACTAATACAGCTACCTCTTCTAAAACTGTTCCTTTTTCTTTAGCTTACTTTTGCTCTGCTTAATTGCAAACAGGGTAAATCAAATCACAATTAAAAATTGTTAAATATTTTTATTTAAATCATTCAAAAATCTAGTTGTTTGATTTAAATTATGATTAAATAGTGATTTAAATCCATTTGAATTAAATCAGATCCACCCTGCCTGCAAATGACTTTCACTAGCTGTGCAAGTTTTTCTTACAACTTGATTCAGTAATGAGTTCAACAAAAATCAAAATGTGTTATTCTTTCAGTACAATTGGGTAGAGGGAGATTCCCCCTCCACCACAGACAGCTACCGGTGCGTCCTCCAAATCTGTTCTCAAGTACTGCTGTGGAAGAGAGGATAGAAGGAGAAAATCAAGTTGTTCTGGTAGAAATTCTCTTGTGCAAAGTTGATTTAACGCTTTACCTTCCAACTGGAAGTGTCTGTTCAACTCTTCACCTCCTTGATAACATGAACAAAGAAAAAAGGGACTATTATTCTTGTTCCTTTCTTCCAGTTTATTATTGAAAGTGGACGTGCTGAGAGGATTTGCTGTTCTGGCAACTGATACCGAACTTTTGTTATTTACAGAGGGTGTGTTTGCACCACATGCCCATCAGCCTTCCTGACAAGGATGCTTCTAGTCTTTTAATCTCTGCCAGAAGTCAAGTTGTGAACTGAACTAGCTCTTTGCCTTGCTGTATTTAGTGTATCTGAAGGCTGAGCCATTTTTATTGCCTTTTTAAATTAAGAAAACATACCAGTCATCTTCCTATTAAGGCTTTGCTTTCATTCAGCTAGTATTAAATTCAAGAGTGCTCGCACAGGTCTGACTTTCCCCTTTGAATTGCCTCCTTTCGATAGCATGATGAATGACGAAACTCACAAACTATCTACACTGGCCCTTTTGGAGCAGGTTGATGCAGTCTAAAAAGGTTGAGTGGAGGTGCAGTCCTCACATCCAAATAGCATTTGGACTTCAAACAACTCTGTCCTGCATCTTTATCGATTTCTGATTTTATGAAGTGGCATAATAAGCAAGACATTCAGGATATCTATCAACAAGTTAATAAGCAAGCCATTTAGGACATCCCATTACCCTCTTTTTTTTGACTCTGCTAGACCATCACTGATGTGCTGCATCACTTAGATTAATTTTTTTAAATACTATATTTGCCTTGTCTAAAGTGCCAGCCGAAACTGCCCACAGCTGAAACTTTCAAAATCTGCTCTCAAGATCTGCTCTAGAGAAAGAAGGTTAGAAGGACAAAATAAAATTGGGCCTATAGAAATTCTCTTGTGAATTTCTGTTTCAGTTGCAAACAGTTTATTGAGCAGAATGTTAGACAAGACAAAGAATGTTTTAAAAGAATTTAATCTACAGTAAGTACTGCAGTGCATCACCAGTGGTCAAGTTGAGTCATAATAATAATAATTTTATTTCCCATGTCCCTTTACTGAGGAGCAGGGGAAGTGTTCAATTTGCTGATATCTTGAAGTGACTCGTTTATTAAGCTGTTTTGCAATGCTGGAAATTGACAATGGAATGAGACTTGACAGCTTAAGGCTCACTTCTTGTTCCATTCTCAGCAATTATATGTGCTGTAACAGACCAAACTCAAGTGAATCTACCTCCATGGAAAAAGTACAAGCCACAGTTGCTGGATAGCTCAGTTGTTTAGGAGTTCAGTTCCCCACTGTGCCTCCTCCTGTTGCTGGATAGCTCAGTTGTTTAGTAGTTCAGTTCCCCACTGTGCCTCCTTAATAGAGTCTGGACTCAATTATCGATAGGGACCCTTCCAGTTCTGCTGTTCTATATGATGATGATGATGATGATGTGATGCCTCGCAAGACAAATGCCTCACGCAATGAAAAACTCGCAAGACAAAAGCATTTTGCGATTTTTTTTGGCCGTGCCCGTAAGACAAATTTCCCCCCCATTTTTTGTTTTAAATTGCACAACCGTTAGTACTACGCTTTGCAAGATGAAATTTTCGCATTACGACATGACTCATGGAATAAATTAATTTCGTCTTGTGAGGCATCAATTTGATGATGATGATGATGATGATGATGATGATGATGATGATGCTCAAAAAGGTGCAGGGAGGGGCACTCTGGAGAGGGATTATATCACTCTAGTGATTATGTTGTCTGGTCGCCCAAAAAAGAGCAAACCAATCCATTTTCACAGTGCAGTAAACAGTGGGACAGATGCCTGTCTGATGAGTGGATCAGTGTATGAAACCTTTGCATGCAAATTATTTGTTGTGTGGAACTGCTTCAAATCAGTGTCGTTTTATTGCAGTTTATTTATTTCATCATGCTTTTACCAGCTGTTGCTCCAAGATTCTCTGAAGGCAGCTCATATAACTCCAGATGGTAGCTTACTGTGCCAGAACCTGGGTAGCATTTGTAGTAAACCACATGGCTTCAGATTGTTCTCTGGCTTGCTTAAGGACACGAGGCTATATTTCGTAGCACCAGCACCACTAAAAAATCCAAATTCATATTTGGTAATGCCTTTATCGGTGAGAACAAGCTAACTCCAGCAAGTAAACTGATAGAACATATGCTGGAATATGTGATTATTTTCCCCCTCCATCACAACTAGAGACTTAAACTCTTATCTTTTGTTTTTCTATCACTCCATTTCCCTTTCCCTTCTTTCCCCATACATCCACTTTTGACAATACCTTGCTTCATGTAGAGATATTTAGAGTCTGGGGCTTGTAGTCCAAAAAGTAATTTTCAAACTCTGGTCATTTTCTAGGTCATGTCACCTTTCTGGTTTAGATGGGTAGTATCCATGGAAAACTCTTGTTCAGTTTTATGCTTAGCTTGTGAAATGTTTTCTGAAAGAGTTGAGCCCTTTTCTGGAAGCAGATCATTTTTTAAAAGACTTCTAAATTACATTGTTATGTTGGTTTTATCCTCTCCCCCCCCAAGTTGATCTATTTTACACTACTTTTCTTTTCACTATTAAATATTATTTGTAAGCCATTCTGAAGATTGCCAAGCTTAAGTGAAATATTATGTTAAAACGCATCATGATTTTCAAGTTGATTGTTTCTTTATTCTCAGAGACAAGGCATTCCTTAGCATTACAATCTAAGATGCAAATAGAAGCAAGATTTTAAACTAAGTTCCTGCTTTTACCTCAACATTGCTAATGTGGACAACCCATTAGCATATAGTTTTCAAGCAAGAGTTTGAAGGGATGGATGGATGTACTTGGATGTTTCTGTGAAACTTGTAAACTTCTAACAAACCGCTGCTAAGTTGAATGGTGTGGGATTTGATACTGCAAGTACAGCAGGGCCATAGGAAAGTAACTACCCTGCTGAGGTTAAAAGCCTGGAAAATCTCCAGCAGACAAGCCCATGTTAGAACTCTTGGATGTTGTGTTGAGTTAAAGCTCTGTTAAAAACTTGGACTGTTTCAGAAACTGAGGGGGTAGCTTTAAACATTTTTTCTTCTGTGCTAACATGCTGTCTCCCTGCCTTCTTTTTTTCCATTTTAGGTATGTGATGTCAAACCGGTAGGCAGTCCTCTGTAGCCTCCCACATACAACTGAAACATCATGTGCCAGTATGAATATTAACACAGACACACATCCTCCAGTTCTCTGCAGCCCAAGAAGAGAAAAAGAGGAATTAGATATCTGGAATCAATGACTGGATTGCTGGCAAAACAATTTTTTGTGTTGGAGAAGATCTGAGCCAGAAACAAGATATTTCTCCCACCCTTGACTTTTTCTTTCCTTCAAAATTTATACGTATCTGTTTTTACAGTTCCTGTTTGCCTTGGATTTCATACTCTTAGTTGCAGTGGCCTCAAGCACTGGACAGCAATATGTGTCATGTCATTGTCACTTGCCGCTCAATGTTGTGGACACTCCTGAGTATTGTTGTGGCATTTGCCGAGCTCATAGCCTTCATGAGCGCCGATTGGTTGGTTGGCAAGGCAAAACCTGGACGTTTCGAGGATATAGACAACAGGACAGGAGGATCAGTGGAACCGTATCGTCCCACCTTAGGGATCTATGGACGTTGCACCAGGATCCCACATATGCAGTCCTCCATGCCTGATACACTTTGTGGCCCCTACGCAGAGAACTTCAGTGAAATCGCCAGTGGTTTCTGGCAAGCTACTGCTATTTTCCTTGCTGTGGGGATCGTGATACTCTGTGCTGTCGCATTTGTATCTGTCTTCACCATGTGTGTACAGAGTATTATGAAGAAAAGTATTTTTAATGTCTGTGGGCTGCTACAAGGAATTGCAGGTAGGTGTGACAAAGCAGAAATGGAAACATGTGTTGATGTTTGTATTATATGGACAGGGAAGCATTTTCACCAAAGTTTTCTTTACTATATCTCTTCTGCTAAATTTTATCTAAACCAAGACACAGTTTGAACCTTCTTAAGAAAAAGAAGAGCTTGCTGATGTCATTGCAAAAGAGCGGTCACTTCTTCCATTCAATCTTCCCTTTCATAGATATATTAAAGGGGAGAAAAACAGGTCATTTTTCTGTTTGCTTACTCTCTGTGTCCACTGTATGACCAGCAAGCAAGTCAAGGGGAAAAATGCATATACTGTGTTTTAGTGGCTCAGTTAAAGCATACATAAAACATTATTAGGAAAAATGGGGAATGTATTTCTACTTTTCCTAGAAGCATGTTTCCTTTCCTTCTTCCTTTTAAGAACAACCTTAACAAGAGCAGTAAAGTATTTCTACTTTTCCTAGAAACATGTTTCCTTTCCTTCCTCCTTTTAAGAACAACCTTAACAAGAGCAGCAGGTAATTTTTAAAGTCACTTTTCAGACCTGAGATCCACAAACAGCCATAAGGAATCACTCAGTTTTAACTTCCAAATTTTCGGTCTGATTCTCTGTTTTTCCCTTCCCCACATCACTTGGCTACTTTGGACATAATGTTAAACTGTGGCTCAAAGTCATTTAGAAAACTTCAAGCTTAAATCTCGTATACATTACAATCCCCTCCCTCAGCTGACTGTTGTCTAAACCAGGAAACTGTGTTTTGTGTTTGGGAACCACAGTTGCAGCTTGGTTCTAACACTTGGTTGCAGGATTATGACAAACCATAGTTTACTGGTTTGCACAAAACCACTGGGAAGAAAGGGAATGAAGCAGGAAGTGTGGAAGTAGGAAGAAGCAGGTGAGCCTGAGTATCATTAAAGGCTTGTTCATATAGTGAAAAATTATGGTTTGGCCATTGGATGAAGCAACATTCTTCCTTATTTTTATTTTTTCCTTCCATCTTTTTCCTTCTCTTAAGAAAATTCCTAAACAAAGGGGCAGAATTAGGGCTGCTATAATCTAGCATAGTTCAGAGCATTTCTGATTGCATACTGATTCCCCACCACCATCAGCCTCCTACCCCTAATTTCTGAAAGTGCAGCTTTTCATGGATGGAAATCAATTTCTTTTTTAAAATTTTTTTATTAGACATAAACTGTCCATCTAGAACATGTCTACTCTGGGCGGTTTGCACAAAATACTGTACAAAACCCCAAGATGGAAATATAATAAATGAAAACATTAATGCTTTAAAAAATGAAGCCCAATTTTACTATGGGAGACTAAGATGGGGGAAAAAGGAAAAAGAAGAGAGAAAGCTAAGTAATGGCTGTTGGGAAAGCCTGCTTGTAGAAATTTCAATCATGAAATTTCTTTAAAAGTCTGCTTCTTATAAATTGCATCATGGCTAGATTATGAGTAATCCTCCAATGACTTCTGACTTGAGTTCATGAGGGCTTTGTCAGAGCAACTTTACTTTGTACTGGATTGTTGTCACTTTTCTGCTGTTGATGTGCTTTCACACACCATTTTTTTCCAATCCTGCGCTTGCAGACTGCTGAAGCACTTGTTCAGTTAGTTTCTTGGTGTGAATGTTAATCAGATAGGGCAATGAAATTATTTCCTCACATTTCAGTTGAGGACAAGTTAATACATCCGTTATGCTGAGATGTTCTGTTCTTCAGAGTTTATTCCATTGAAATGCTGATGTTTCTCAAACTAGTTTTGCTTTTATTTTGTTTAATACTGTACATGTTTGGAACATGGTACTTCCCCTCCCCCCAAACTTGGTCATCATACGTCATCAAATATGAGCATTTCCAAGAATTGTGGAATCTGCTTGATTGACAGAAGCCTAGTGTGCACATCTTCTCTGAAGTAAATCCCACAGACCACAGTGGTAATAACTCTCAATGCATACAATTGCAGTCCAGGTGATATTTAAACCTTAGACTATGTTGTGATTAATGCTTAATTATTTCCTGGATCTGTCAGACAAGAGATAAAAACCAGGCATTGGTTGTTGTCCATTTTTTAAAGGTTGTGACTTAAGTGTTCTCTAAATGTACAGAACTTCTGTTCCGTACAGATGTTTCTGTACTTTTAGAGTTGTAGTCTAAGACTTCCATGGATATGAGCCATGTAGTTTTTCCAGGTCACTGTGAGCCCACACATGTCTTAGTGCAAGGAAATTTTGAGTCTGTCTGCAAATAATCTTATCTCCTGATTTAAAAGTTCCTCTGTCAGTTCCTCTATCCTCTGAAGCTCCTTTTATTGTTGTTGTTGTTGTTAAAGGAGGTGAAATGGTAATCTCAACTTTGTAAACATCTGAAAACCTGGGACAGTGGGGGGGGATCAACTTTAAAGTACCCAAGAGCCATAAAACCATATAATTAAATCCATAATTGCTGCTTTACAGACAAAAGACTGGACAGGCTTTCACTGAACATCTTTTGGGAATGCATGAGCTATTTTAAAGAAGGTTATGAATCTGGGCATAAGCAATTTTGTTCTTAAAATACTAATAGTGAATATATGTTCAGTTAATTGACTATCATAGTAGGTTCTTCTTTTCACCCAATAAGTTTCAACAGTGCTTGTAGCAGTATTTATCACAGTAATGTTTGTAGCCTCAGGTGTTTAGTTGATAGGTTTACCACTAGAAATGCACCTTTAATGTAGGAATTAGGGTGAGTATTTGAACAATCTGTAATCAAGATTTTTAGACATTAGTTGTTCTAGTAGTGGCTACCAGAACTATATCCTGAGGTATCCTTTTCTGAATCTAAAGTTCCACATTTGTTGATCTGGATATTCTGTGAGAAACTAGGACGCATCTGTGGTCATGTGTCCATTCAGACACATCTAAATCTCATGATTCAGCCTTCCTCCAGTTTTCCAAGAAACCTTTGGTCTGTGCATACTGCATAGCATGGAAACTGTTCTACTACAGTGTTGTTCCTTGGAACTGTTGTAGATAACTTGGTTCTTCTGCTTTTGCCAAATGAATGAGTCCTTCCCAGGAGTGATACCAGTTGTAGAATAACAGACCTATGCAAATGGTTGTATCCACATGATTTTGCTTAATTTGGGGGGGGAGATAGGAAGGGATTAGTGGAGTGCAGTGGACACACATACACCACAGAGTATTTTAAAGAAGTAGGTAAGATAAGGACGGTCAACCAGTCACCTTCCAGATGTTGAACTGAAACTCCCATTAGTCCTAATCATCATAGGTAGGGATGAGGAATTACGGTTGTTGCAGTCCAGCAACATCTGCAGGCCCACAAATCAAAGGAACTGTTATAAAAGGGTAGGACGTTGGAGGGGGAGCGAGGAGTGGGTACCATGATTAAGGAAAACCCAGAGGTTGGGCACCTCTTTCCTAATTGAGCTGTGAGCCATTATTGCCCATAATTCCATCAATAAAGATCAGATGAGGCAGGTCTTAATTTTTTTAATTGATGAGTATACTTACATGTCACCCTTCACTTCCCTATTCCACAGCTCGCAAAGGCTTCCCTAGGATGATTCCCCCATGGCCACAGTTGATATCACAGTTTGGTGGCATACAATTATTCAATAGGATTCTGGTCAGTTAGTTACACACCCTGTTTCCCCAAAAATAAGGCCTAGCCTGAAAATAACCCCTAGGAGGATTTTTCAGGATGCTCATAATATAAGCCCTACCCCCAAAAATAAGTGAAACCCCACCCTCCACCATTGTGCAGCAACCAGAAGGAGATGATATTACTGTACAGTATTTGAAAAAAAAGTAGATTGTTGGGAAAAAAACATCCCTTGAAAATAAGCCCTAATGCATTTTTGGAGCAAAAATTAATATAAGACCCTGTCTTATTTTTGGGGAAACACAGTATATTCATAAGAAAAGAAAAGAAACAACCAAAGCATAACTTCAACAAAATAAAATTTTAAAAAATTATGCTACCAGTATTGATCATAGGTTGATAAAACTGAAGTTCCGTGAATTGAAGGACATAACATTAAAAGAGATAGAAATACTATGTAAAGAAGTTATTATCAACAGGTTGAGGATATTGTGCCATAAATTCATATGAATATGAAGGAGGAATTTGATTGGTTTTATTATGGTTAACATAATCCATGGAAGGAAACCACAATCCATGGAAGGAAACTATGTACTTGTAAATTCATTATGCCTCTCTTTGTTATTCTTACAGATACCAATTGACATGTTAACTTTTCCACTGGAGCCATATTCTATGTACTGGTTTTTCAGCTTCTTAAGGCAACAGAATAATTTTATTCCCAATGTAGAGACATCTCTAGCTGCGCCAAGGGGAGAGAGTTCTTACGCAAGTGTGTCTGTTTGGAGGTGGGCTGCAGAAATAATTATGAGAATAGAGGGTTAGTAGTTTGTAGATTTCTTTTTTTACTTGTCACCCCCCAGAATCCTCTGATGAGAATACTCAAACAAAAACTGTAACAATCAAACAACAGCAGTGGAGAAAAGATATTTTGGTCTTATCTTAACTGTGAGCTAACAGACAGCAAGTCTCTGCTTATCTTGACCCTGGGCGCCACCCAGGATCACCAGAAGAACTTCAGAAACAGAATCAAAAGATGTTTCGCAGGCAACCAGGCACATTCTATCTATCTATTAGCCAGTCAGGCAGCTTTCCAAATTGCCGTCCATCAAGGACTCTGGGTTGGCTTAGGAAAGCGTGAATTATATTAACCCTGCCAGTATTAGTATAGTACTAGAACAAACAGCAAGCAAGTAAAACTACCAACACACACACACACACACACACACACACACACAGAGAGAGAGAGAGAGAGAGAGAGAGAGAGAGAGAGAGAGAGAGAGAGGGAACAGTCCTAGGCAACACTACTATTCCAGAGGCCTTGACAAATTAAAAAAAGTTTTAAACATGGCACCTGGAAGACTGTAATTTCAAAGTTAAGGAGGATTGCTGATTG